TTTGTTTTATGTCAAAATTTCTTGAAATGGTCCGTATTCGAGAAATTTGACAAAATGTGCAAAATTCTGATTTTTATGAAAATTGTTTGCGATATCGATCTCTATAATTTTTGTTCATACATGATTTTTCTAAAATGGACCGTAATGGAAAGGTGCTAAATTTAAATTTTTCAGTATTTTCGTTTTCAATTAATATCTAAAAATGTTTCGAGGTATGTGGACAATGTATATATTTAGTTTATCCTCTAAACATTTATAGAGATGCTGCAATAGGTTGTACAAAATAACCGGAAAAAGCCTATACTTACTAGATAGAAAAGTCATGTGTTGGACACATCAGATGTTTACTTTAACGATAAGTCTTGTATAGTTTGTAAACTAGCCGGATAATATACAAACTAACCAACATTCATAGCTATTTTAGTATAAATATGATTTTCCATTAAAATAGCAAGACTTTTGGATAGTTTGTATGCTATCCAGCTAGTCTATAAACTAGCCAAGTAAATACTTTAACCGTAACATATACATTAAACATGAGGTGAAAAGAATGAGATGAGTATAACATTGTGTAAAATTCGCTGACCGATTGTGCGATGATAACAATAAAATAAAAATAAAATAATGGTGCTAAATCTAGCCATATTGTCGAACATCTAAAACTTACAAGACACCTAAATCACTGACTAAAGCTACGCTTTAAACTGTACTTCTACTTGTTCAAGATGCCAATATTGCTGATCTCAGGGAGAAATATAATAGTTACACGTTAATTTTCTGAATTTATACATAACCAAGTTCTTCTATATTTTATAGCCTCAATCCGTGCGGTTTTTTCACTCAGATTGTTTTTTTTTTCAGATTTTCTTACGTGAAAAAAATTGCATCCTCGCTCATCTGACTTTTCCCAAAAAATATTTTGTTATGGCAGGTTAAGGGCCTTTAAACCCATATTATTTTAAGTAGTTGCCTTTCATTAGTAAGTTGTATTTTTCACATGGGCTTGTGCAACACGTATTGGAAAGCGTTCGACAGCCGAAAATACTGGGAATAAACTGTTTAATTTATATCGCTTCATTTTTATGTTTTTGTTTATTTTTTCGCATCTATTTATTTTTAAAATTCAACTTAAAACAATAATTATACTGTTTTCTGATTAGATAAAATAGAAAGGGCTACGCATAGACATTAATTGAAATATTACTTACTTGTTCTTTTACAGTATTTATTTAAAAAAGAGTAGAAAAGGAAACCAAAGCATAAACTAAAAACGATAAAACAAAAACCCGAATAGGTAAAATAATTAATCATTTTTTATTTGACTTAACTGGGAGTAGGTATCAAACTCTATCACACTAAGTTTAACTGAAAAGTAATAAATTGCTTATCTATAACTGGATAAAACTTATAATTGCAAATAACTTACAAATATACAGGATGATTGACACCATATTAATCGGAATGGATATGAACCTCATTATAAAACAAAAAAACTTCTTCCATGGCTATAAACCATTAATTGACTTATATTATAACGAATTTTGTTAATAAGCAGAAAGGGTCTCATTATATCCCTAAATATAGAACATCTTAATTTCAAAATTGCTTCTCTTATCAGACTTTATAATAAAATTCTCAATGGACTTAAAAAAATATCCTTTAAAGTTTTCGTCGTATAACTAAGCTATTGGTTAAAGAGCAATGCATCATTTTTCAATTTCTTCAAACTAAACAACAAATGGGATTACCACTAAAGTATAAGTACAAATGTAAAAATTGTATTTTCTTGCTTCCATGTCGCTTTTAAGGAAGGACAATTTTTAACTAATCAAAATTTCTTTTGTCCTTTTATTTGAATATCCACATGATGCATTTTTTACATCTCGAGCGTTTGTTTATCCACATCGGACACATATACTACATCTTCATCTGCGTTTGATTATCCAAGATGTAGCTGTCCATATTACATTTTTTTACATCTCGATTTGAAATGAGATGTGAATGAGATGTTTGTTCCATGTCAGAAAATAGGTGTTCTGTGAAGCCAAGTTTATCAATTTATCCTTGCTATGCTAGCGTGAATATAAAAGTGATTAGTTTGTTTAATTTTTGTTTATATTTAAAATTTAGGTTGATTTCTAGTCTCAAAAGTCAAATTTAAAAAGTATAAACTTCTAACTTGTCATTGTCATTTTATCACGTGACCCATAAAGTCTAGAACGTTTGTTTAATACATCTACATTTAAATCTAATCATCTATCACGTGATAAAAAATTCGAAACATCTCAGATGCATCCGATGTGGATATTCAAACGCAGCAAATGTATGTATTGTCTACATTGTAAAACATGGGCATAAGATGTATTTGTCCTATCATTGAATTTTTCCTGCCAAATTTGTAAAGGTGGAATATTTCCCGTACGATACCTTTCGGTGAGGAGGTGCTACTAACTTCTAGTGGAGAACTTTCAGCTGCTGCCTGAAAAACTCCAAGAAGCCCGAAACGATAAGTCGTAGATTGATTAGAACGTCAAATGCAATATTAAAAGTTTTGTTGTGTCGTCTGAGATTCTTGCAGAGATGCATTATAACAGTTTCCCGAACTAATAATCGAAATTGGAGGTAGGTTTCAATCACCCTGTATTTTTGAAAGTTATAATTGTTTTATTATTGCAAGATAAACATAAAAAATTAAAATACAATCGGCAACGTTATCATTTCAGAACAAAATTGTCTAAATTTACATAAAATAAATTAAATAAAAGGAATAAAGTTAAAAAATCGAATAATCATTAAATAGTTTGCAGTATTTGGCAATATATTTAACCAATTGAGCAATTTATACCAATTCTGCCAGGACAAATAGCCAGTCAGGAGTTCTATTTTCTGGTTTATGGAGTCTACTGAAAAATACCAAACTAGACAAGATTATCTAATTAATGATTAATGGATAACTACATTAGATTTGAAAAATGTCCACAGTCCTAATCGAATCTTACCAGCTGAGTTTGAGTTGATTTCAAGAACCGGCCTTTAAAAGTTAAGTAGCTTTTAACACTAGTTTTTTCTACACCCACATAGATATTAGCTATTCTACGCACAGATTACAAAATATAAAATTAGGCCATTGCGTTCAACTGAATAAATATATTTCATATCCATTCAACCTATAGACTAAGAGCTAGAGGTCACAAGGTGGTACTATCGTACCTCCGGCTGGAATTGTGAAGTAGTTGGCGGGACCAACAGGAAGTGTCATCTTTTTTAGATGTAGATATAATAATATTTAATATATACGCTTATTTTACTACTAAAAAATCCAATAACGGATCCTTGCTATCAGTTTTAACCTGTTTTAACCTTGTCTATGTGTCTAGTGCCCTTTGCATTAGCGAAACATAAGTAAATTTACTTTTAATAAATATATCTCTGTTCACCAATAAACAATAAATAAAAAACGGGATGTCTCAATAAAAGCATGAAGACAACAGACAACAAGAAAAGTTAGGATGTTAAGCTTCAAATATTAGAATAATTTATTAGTGTAGGTACCTTTTAGAACATTCAGTAGAACAGTGTACCATTTGATGCATTCATGTGTAATACAAAACAGTTGAATTTGGTGGAATTGCCTTTATCTGGACATCTAAAGTTTTAAGTTACAGTAAGCAACTGAACATTTAAAATAAACCATAATTTCATTGCTCGAGGGAAGCGAAAACTTCTCATAGAGAGATGACATGCAAAAATATCTCTTAACTCGTCGAGAGCAGGTGAGAATAAATAATGCTAGGCGATATCACTATTTCTCACCGCTCAATATTTTCAGGTACATTGTATTTTTTTATATAACAACTATGCCCAACTACTTATTTTTATAAAAGAAATCATAATGATATCTGAAGATTTAGAGTAGGTACCACAGATAAATTATTATTAAAAGAAGAAGAATTTTTTAAATACACGCCACTGTCAACACGTTTTAGTTCCAAGCATATTATTAGTTAGCGCCACCATTGCAATAGTCTGAAAGCGATACATACTTTGATTTTCTTTTACTATACGGAGAATGGTCGCACTGCTCAGCTTTCTGAGTGCCTTTTAAAAGGAGATAGAAAACTCCGCCATTTTGAACCCTTATTACGTGTTGCCTACATCTTGGCGCAATATTTTTAATAGGTGCGTTTTAATCATCCGCTTCTGCTTCGGAATTGTCGGTTTTCTTGTTTTAATCTGACATGTTAAAACTACTAAACCGACAATTCCGGAAGCAGAAGCGGAAGATTAAAACGCACCTGATATTTTGCTTGCTGCTGTCAGTGTCAGTGAATATTATTTTTGAAGTCACAGTTTATTGCTAAAGAATAAGTTAGCTCACTCGAACTAGTTGAAAGTTCCAAAATAACATCCACTACAGGGATACAAATTCAGGATACGCAGAAGACTGCTGTTTTATTATAAGCGGTTGTCATATATTGTATTATCCGAGTTGCACAGTGTATAAACTGAAACATTGAGATCAAAAGTGCCGACGCAGAGTGAGCGATCTGATTCTTTAGCTGTAAACTGTGTCACAGGAATCAAAATGGCCGCGCCCTATGTTGGGCGTGTCGGACCTCTCTCTTGTCCCGTATAGTAATCAAAGTATGTGGACCGCGGACCGCGGTTATGCTTGACACTCTTCTTTTTTGTTTTATATTTTTCTTACTCAGTTTCTAACTGGCAAGTCAATCAGCCAGTGTAGGTAAAAAAAATCAATTCATTACTAATTCGCAGAACTATAAGTTTCAAAAGATTAATAGGGTATCTTCTTCATTAATTTATAGAGTACATACTGTGGAACCGGCAGCATATGAATAAACCTCATGAGATCTAAAGAATCGTTATATTTTTACATTTCTACTCACATATGACATTCCACAATTTGATTGTCTTTATTCTTTGGAAGGATCACGAATCGAAAATTATAAGCTATATTTTTTATTTAAATGTTTACTTACATGCTCGTCTACACTTTTCTTTTGCCCATGTGAAAACTATAATAAACAGAAGCAGTCCTACGGCCACGAAAGGAAAATAAAATCTGTTAATATTACCAAAAACTCCCATGATTGTATAGGTATTCACAACGGGTATTCACCATTTGAACACCACAAAAATGAGTAAATGATATTTCGATTGTTGATTAAAAACATCCCAACTTAGTCGAGAATCTAGATCTAAGTCATAAGGTAGAGTAGATAAGATACATAATTCTGAATTGTAATATTTTTGAATTACCTTTTTAATATTATCAGCGACGTATTATGAAAACTTTATGAGGAATAATATTAATTTTATGGCAGAATTGCAAATTTTTATTTTTTAAAATTGATAACGACCTAATGGGTAGAACATACGTCTTTACCACTTAGGCTACAGTTGCTGCAAAAACAAGAATTAGACAATTTTAAGCATAGACAATGTCTTTTAACTAATAATGAAAAATTTAAGGAAAAGAGATCATTATAACAATATCTTTAGACAGTAATTAGTATTTAGAGATCATGATTATGATTTTGAGGAATTTGCCGAATTTTTAAGCACGTAGGTAGAACCAAGGGAGATAAAAAACGATAAAGAAAACATCACGTGATATAAGTGATAAGGGATATCGCCCACGGTGTCATGGCGGCGCTGATATCATGCGTATAGTTGGCGCGAAGTAAATAGCATATGACAGACGCAGGTATCAGTTGTTTGTGAGTCGTTTACAGTGATTTATAATATTTTAATCGGGTTGTAAACTTTGTTCTTTGTGTGTGGTATTAGTGAAAAACATTTATAAAACAATGCGGTACGCAATTTACGGATGTAACAGTAACAATCAAAGCAAACGATTTAAAAAAAGACGTTGTTTTTTAGCTTCTCTCGACAGTAAGAGGTTTGTCACCTATGGCCGTGCAGATAAATTAAAAAAAAGAAAATTGTTTTGTGTGTTCCAAACACCTTAAACCTCCCGATTATAAGAACTCCCATTGGTTCATGCGCAACTCGACACATTTCAACTTGTAACTCTATCCTTTTGAAGGCTGAAAATTTCGCAATTTAGCACACTGTAAATTTCTACCTATAGAGATTTCGCAATTGCATATGCATAGGAGACTTTTTAAACACATGAGATGGGCCATACAGGAAATAAATCTATGCGGACTTGCTTCTATATTATTTTAATTGCAGTCAACTAGCTCTTAAATTCAATGACCAGTGGAAAACAAATTGAGAAAATGTAAAAATAACAAAATAATGAAAATTTTATATGTTAGAAAAGGTATCAAAAATTGTTATTAAAACTATTTCAGGAACCAGGATATAAATATTACCATTAATATTTTTTGTTATGAAAATTAAAGCGTGTAAATTCCGACTTAAACTGTCGACTAATACAATTCAATTATAACATATTTACTAAAAAAAAAAACTTAATTTGTAAATTGTTTGTTTAAATAAATAAAACGGGTGTAACTAATGCATACAGGGAAAATAAGAAAATCCGAATGCATATATTATAAGAAGGTGCGCTGCCTTGTCATACATTCCATACCAAAGCGTAGACTATATGGATGACTGAGTATAACAAACTCCCTCGAAGGTTGATATAACTACTTAAATAATAAATTATCAAAAATGCATCCCAATCTTTTTGAACTTATACAGGTGGAATGGTATCTATATGGCGCCAAAAAGAAAATTGTGACATGTTCATCAATGAAACTGTCAGTGACTATGTCCAGGAAAAAATTAGTATTATAGTTTAGAAAAGAAAAGAGTGCAGTAATTTAATTTGCAGAATATTTTACAGGTTCTAGAGGTAGACATTTTATTTGCTTAAGTTAAAACGAAAATTTTAAAACATCTGATCTGCCTAATAAAAGTTTTCTTTTAGATTTAATAATGTTTCTATAGTTTTTACTGTAATAAAACTTTTCTTTTGACAGATAAAGTCAGACTTTATTTATTCATAGCAGTCTCGTATGTATTTTAATTGATTTAGTATTTTGTATTATTATATATAATTTTTTTTCAGTTATATAAGAATTAGAAAATACTGCAAGCACAATTACGCGTAAACGACCTAGTGGATACAAAGCATTACCTTTAGAAGAAAAAAATATCGTACTAAATGTATTTAATAATCTTCAAAAAGACTATGTTTCACTTTATATGGATGAAATAGCCACTAAATGTGAAACATATACTGGAGTATCTAAGCCGACAGTTTATAACATTATTAAAGAAGATACAGTTATTGGAGAAGTCTCACAGCCGAAGAAGCTCCCAGGAAGAAACAATACTTTTATTGAAACTTGAGTAAATAAAGTAATGAGGCAAATAGTAGGTACATTCTTTTTTTTTCAAAATAAAATTCCTACACTTTAAAAATTACACTCAGAAATAGAAAATATCCCCATTTTCATCTGCAAAAATATTACATGAATTAAATTTTCATTGCAGAAAATCTGACAGAAACAGCTTTTTTATAGAGAAAGACGAAATCACTCCGTGGAGACTTTAATATTTAAGGAAAATAGCGGACGCAAGGAATCAGCATAAACAGGTATTTTACTTAGATGAAACATGGGTTAATGCTGGACATATATGTAGCGACATACTTGCACTACATATCTTTTTCATTTTCATTACGTCATACACATTAAATTGCCGTCATCATTTAGATAACGTTTCGTGGCAGTTCTAGCAAAGACAAAAGGTTGAAGTCATCGCGAGGGAAACAAAATATTGTTTATAATAATTATGACTTTAGAATTTACAATTTATATATACATGTCATGACATACAATTTATTTTAAAATTATATTTTTATGAATTCGTATTTATTTATTGATGGGATATACGCCATTATAAATAGCCCACAATACAGTAACAAAAATTTGGCAAAATTATTCTATCGAAACTAAAAAACAAGCCTTAATGGAAGAGTTCTATTTTGGATTAAAAAATCCAACAGGAAAAGGAAATCGTTTAATAATAACCCGCATTGTAAACACCGATGGATTTTTGCCAGACGGTTTAATAATGTCCGACTCAAAGAAAACAAAAGATGACCATGAAGAAAAGGATGGCCCCATGTTTGAAAATTGGTTTAAGAACATTATAAAAAAAGTTCTAGCCAAGTTCTTTATTGTTTTGCATAATGCATCCTATCACAGTCTATTACGAGTATAGGAGTCACTACCTACAACAAGATGGAAAAAAGAAGATGTTTCAAAATGGCTTCATTCTAAAAATATTGTCAGTCCTCCTAAATCCTTGAAGGCAAAATTATTCGTAATAGCAAGTCATCATAGAAACAAAATCCAAAAAATGTAATATAGATCAGATGGCCCGAGAAAAAGGAATTGAAATTATCAGATTGGCTCCTTACCACGCAGAGTTAACTCCTATTGAACTGATCTGGTCACAATTAAAAGGTTATGTTTCTCGAAACAATACAACATTTAAATTACCTGATGTGGGAATTTTTTTTTAAAGGCAGTTTCAGATGTAAATGGAAAACATTGGAGAAAATGCATTGATCATGTTAAAAAGGTGGAAAATTCATTTTGGAAAGTGGATATAGTAATGGAAAACTTAAACGACCCTATAATATTAAACCTCAGTAAAGACAATAATAATAATATTACCAGTAGTTATAGTAAAGACAGTGACTTTTAAAGATAGTTCTTAAATTTTTTGTTATTTTTAATACTAAGAGATTAAAGAAAGCTTTATGCCATTAACAACATACAGGTAATCCTCCTTCTTATTTATTGGTTAAACTTAATTCGTTCAATGTTAAAGTGCAATAATTTTGTCAGAAGCATGAGGTTTACTTTTATTTTTTGTAAATAATATAACTTGTTTCATCCAAAATTTAATCTACGAATTGCGTATATACCATTTTATATACCGTGACCTTATTTATATTATAGCAACTTATTTTGCAATGTGACGTTATATCCCCACTTTTACTCATATATATATAGTCGATGATTATTGCAGTTGGTATATATTGTAAAAATACAGTGATATTTTATTTTAATTTTGTAGCAAATATTTGGTACCTACATTATTTTTACGCTTTGTATTATATTATTCCTTTACTCATTGATTTTATGAAAAATATTTTTTTAAGAACCTACTATTTTTATCTTGCTTATAAATAAATCCCCGTCTTTTTCATTAAAACAAAAATAGATAAATATATTTATTTGGGTAATGCAAGTAAACAAGTAACCAGTTGCGAATCCTTCTCAACCCAAAGTTCCCAGTTGAGAAGTCATCAGTTGTGAAGATACCCTGGTTATAGAAATTATTGTTAGAATTCGAATGTTTTTCAAAATTAAAAACCTTAATTTGCAAAACCAAAATAAATTATTAATAAAAATAGCAAAAATACTGGTACTCAAAATAAATATTTTTTTTATGTATACACGGAAAAAAATGTGACTAGAAAATTTTACTACAATGTTGTAGTAGTAGACTTGTAGAAAAATACTTAACATTTTGTAGAAAATTTTACTACAATTTATAGTTAAAAACTATTCATTATTGTAGCAATTGAATTGTCGAATAAAATGCTACAACAATAGGAAAGAAGTCCACAATGTTTAGTATATTTTACTATTGTTTGTAGAAGTAGAAATTTATTACAATTATCGTAATTACTACTAGTAACTTCTGTAAAAATTTGTATAAATATTAATAATTATCTTTACAAAAAATAGTAATTTTCTCTACAAAAAATAGTCATACTTTACATCCTTCTTATGAAAAAAATTCAATTTTGTTCAAAAATATTCTATAATATTGTAGAAATTCTAAGTCATGTGAACAAAACAGAATCCTGATATTGGCCAACGTTTTCTGACGTCGATCATAAATGGCCAGACAGCAGTAGCCGTTCGCCATGTTCACATAACAAAGCATGGTACATATACGAGTACCTATTATACACATTATTATATTATAAGCACCGATGCGTTTGAAAAAATGTTAATAATAAATTCTATTGGTGGTAAGTACATTTATTATTGTTTCTGAATAATTTTAGATAACTAATTTAAATAACCTTAGATTATTTAAAAAAAAAATAGTTGTGACCAACGATCGAATGTTGTGCCCAACGATCGAATTTTGTGCCAAGTTCAATGATGTTTTTTTGTCTTAATTGTGACATACCTACTTTCTCATTTTTGTTAGTTATCTGACTTAGTCATTTAATATCCAAATCAGTGTAGAGGTGATAAATATCCCCGTTTTAAGGGTATGAACAGTTCAATTGGTATTAATTTTTATTTCATATTTTTCAGGTGCAGAAAAGCCAACTGAGACTGAGGGCGCTATTATTACTGTTATTTATTACATAATGTAATTTAGAATTTGTATCTTATATATTAAAACAATAAATTGAATATTTTATTAAGGAACATTTTTTCTAGATTATAATTATAATAATTATGGAATACTACTACAAATTTTATTAAAAATTACTACAATTTGTATGAATTTTTACTATTTATTGTGTAAAATTTTTGTATTTATTTTCATAAAACGCAATACATTTTTAATATAAATTCATACAATGAATAGCAAAAATTATAACAATTTGTAGAACAATTCTTATGATGCATTTGGATATTTTTATTACAAATTGTCCCTGTCCCTATATGTACTATTTATTGTAGAGAAAAAATCTATAATTGTAGAAATTTGTTCTACAATTTTTTTTCCGTGTAGATTTGGATTTATTTTCCATCATATCACTTTGCTTCCTTAGATATTTCATGTCATTTCTAAAATATTGTCCTTTAATATGTCATTAAATTTCTGTAAGTACCATATATTTTTTTTAGGGTTCATCAGTATGACAAGTAAAAATCAGTGGCGCATACAAAGTTTAAGTCTGGATAGGGTAGTGGTAATATAGTTTTAGTCTGGGGCAAGTGATGATAATATTTAAGACATTTTTTTTTATATTAATTCGTATATGCATGCGTCCTTGGTATAAATACTTTTGTAATATTGGTATGAAGTTTTGACAGTTTTATCTCTAGGTGTCATGATATTCGCCATATTAAAATGACATAATTTTGGTTCTATTGACAGTTAAATTCTAACCAGACTATTTACAAAAACATCTTTGAATTTGACATAATATACGTTTTTATTGTTTTTAGTTTTTTCGAAATAGTGTTTGTGGGTTATAAATAATAGTTTAAAGGTATGTGATTGGTTACTACCTAAATGATTATAAATAATATATTGATGCATATTATACTTACTTGAGGAATGTATTTTTATAAAAGTTCAAAAACTATATAATATATGGTAAACATAAGGAACAAAACGAACTTTAATAGTCTACTGTCACTCTAATTTCAGTAGAACCATAAATACATCATCACTAATTTAGCGTAGGGGAAATTTTGGTGTTAATTTTTGTATTTTCTGGTTATTATTTATTTCTTAACGATTGTTATTATTATCAAACGAAATATATTATAAGCAACTAAATATAGAAACCTTAAAATTTAATGCAATACATATCGGTGATTTCCTATGGAATATATTTTTCTGGACCCTTAAATTGCGAATTACCCTAATGGTGTACATTTATCTAACTATTTTAAGTTTTAAGTACGGATCTGTTTTGTTTGGAAATTATCATACTTATCTGATTTGCAAAAATCCCAATTAATCGTTTTTAGTAGATCGAGACATCGATAAGGATTTTAATCAATCAACTGAATTATTTTAGAAATAATTTGAATATTCGAAAACAAATGCCCTGCCTCTAGACCATCAGGGCATACTAAATTTACCATTTGAATTATTTTAGTTATATACGTAAGTTTCCAGTTTGTTTTAGAGTGATTTATGAATGTATTGTAATGTGAGCCATTTCCTACCAATGTGGTAAGGATCTGATCCTT